CTCATATTTATTGTGCGCCATTGAAGTGAACGTGTTTACGGCAATTTGATACGTTGTACGTTTTATTTTAAACAGCTACAGTTTTGTTATCCGTTATGACTATACCATCAGAGAAGTTTTTTTTTCCTTGCGAGTGGCCGAATGTATGCCGGTGTATGCATTCGCGCCGGCATGCGTCTTTATAAACTACCGTGATGCTTGAGTTGATGCGTGTTCATGGGCAGCGTGTTGCATCGTCTTAGGTAGGGCTCGCAAAGGTTGACTTACGCTTAGGTGTTCATGCAGCTCGTTTAGTAAAATTCGAACTTGTGGTATGCACCTTCAACATAGATTACCTGATGCGGCCACAACCCATTCTTTTAAGCTATTTTGCTAACGTGAACTGCATCTTCGAACGAATATTTCATGGCTAAATGCGGCCTAATCGCTATACCTTACTGTGCGAGCACAAATTTGGTCGTTAGTCCAAGCTTTCGAGCACCACAGATTTTACTCTACTTGTTTCCACTATGTCTGGATTTCGTTATTTTGTTTCGGTTGAATGAATATTGTATGCGCCTCGCCCAACCTTGGTGTTGAAACCTTGCTGAACGTATTTCCACGTTTTTTTTTTCATTAGACAGCCTGTGATGCTTATGTGAGGTGTACTGCATTTTTAGCCAACAAGAATCATTGAAACTAATGACCATAGTTTAGCAGTAAACAATGGTAATTTAGTGACATTATTATCTGACATTATACATATAATCATTCCAAATTGAGCAGCCTGAAGAAAGCTACATTATTTGCATTTGAAATCAAATTCATACTTTGATATTATGTGTTACCTGCAATAGATACTTGATGAAATTGCATAAGATGATGTGTGTGTTGTGGTATCATTGAATTTGCATATCAACGCACTATGCACGGGCTCAATAAGCATGGTTTTGGCTCATCTGTGGTGTGTAAATTGCATATTATTTCATAAGGTTGCAACTCTGTTCACCAAGAACATAAAAATGTTGATGTTGTAACATCTCCAGTTTGTGTACATCCTGCTAGTTTAAGACACATTGTTCCAAATCATTTTAAATAGACAGAAGAACTCAGTTTTGCCAGGGACCTCATGTCACTAAATTATTTTTTCTGTGTTTCCATCACAGCCTATGCATGTTCCCTGTGCAAACTGAGTGTGGCAGAATTCCGGACAAGCCTGTCATCAGTGGTAGCTCGTGGAAACGTTGGCTGCAGATGTACAGCAGCTGGGCATGGCTTCTGTTTCCTATGAAAAGGGAACGTCACTGAGCCACCTGGTTGCTTATTCAAGTAGTTTGCATATTCAGGATGTTCAAAAATAAGCCCTTTGTTTTTCATTGAAAAAGTCAGTGCTGCAAATTATGTGTGTAAAAGCCACCTTTACAGAGAGCAATCTGTTCAGGGGGACACAATGTGCAACAATACTTATTACTGTCAGCCGCGCCGATGAATAAGATGCATTATTGAACTTTTTAAAGACTGGAGGCCCCTATACATGTATTAAACATTTAAGCCTGTCACATTTCTGCATAGATCCAATAAAATTTTTGCATGCCTGTGACATACTTTACGTATTATTATACAACAGATGGCTAATTTGGGTGTGCAAAGCTTATCAAAGTATAATATCCATAGTGTTTTAAATGCCTTGAAAAAAGCATTCTAGTCAGAAGTTACTGTTGTTATGAGTTTCTTACGTAAAACATTTGTTTGTGTTCTTGAGAAATAAATGTACTCTCAATTACCTAGAAAAAATGCTGAAAATGTAAAAACTTTCACAGTGACAATGATCCGTTCAAGCTTCATGGGCTAAGGCTGATGTGTTAATCTTATTTGTCTCCAACCACCAGTTGATGTACGTTACCTGTTCAAATATTGTTTGTAAAATGCTCTAAACTGTAAAGTGTGAATGAAAATAAGTTAATCCTTTTGCAGTTTCACGTGCTTGTTGATATACATTCCACATATAACAGCCTTCAATATGCAGCACCATACAGGCTATCAACTGGCCTAATTTCTGGTCTGCATAAAGGTAGCTAGGCTACTTATAGGACACACACAATACACAATCTTTAGTAGACATAAACATGGTAGCAAAATTATGACAGTTGGAAGAGATACAAGACGGTTACATATCAAATGCACACAGGACAGTAACATATTGGACACATACATGACGGATGCTATGAGGAGACAGAAAGTCGGCGGTCAAATCATTACATCTTGGAGACATACAGTTGGTGTCCTCATGCTGCCTCGGGAAAATGTGACGGTATAAGTCACGACGCCTTTCAATTAATGGCAGTTGCAATGTAGCAGTTTGAAATGCATAGAAACATGTTCTTTTGTATGAATAAAGAAATGTGAAAAAGTGCGGAACGATGCAAGTCTCACTATAGTAAGAAAGTTCTCATGGGAAGTGGTGTGAAAACTCTACCAGATATCCATTTGGGTGAATCACCGACCATTATTGGACACATAGTTGAACGTTCATTTTTATTTACAATGCTTGATTGGTGCAGCTGGTCATATAGATAGGTGCGGTGCAATGAGAAGCACGGAAACAAATAAAACACAAATGTTGTTTGTCATGTCTCGTTGCCGTATGAAAGTGAACAAAACGAGACGAACACCAATTGTGTTTGTTTGTTTTGTTTGCATCGAACCTCCTCTATTATATATGACAGCTGCACCAATTATGCATTAAAAATAAAAATGAATGGTTGACTAGGTGCCCCTAATCGTCTGTGATTTACTCAGCGCTTATTTAGGTGGTATTAGGTTACGAAAACAATAATACAATAAAACGGCCTATATGTCCGTTGAACATCCGCATATCCGCCTTGGACACCCGCAGGACTCCCGCTGGATCGCCAATTAGTATGCGCCTTAGAGTCCTGCGGATGTCCGCTGGACGCCGATTTGCGATTTTCGGACGACCAGTGGACGACCGAGACATCCGGAGGCGGTTGTCCAGTGGACGTCCATCGGTGTTTAAATGCCCATCGGGCGTTGTCCTTTCGTATACTTCTATAGTTCATTACAAAATTAAGTCTTCTGCCACATTCCCAATGTCAATATTATTTCTCTTATTAGCTTTCACGGTGTCTATCTTTGTCCTTCCTATTCAGTTTTCTCTAAACCCTTTGATGCCACGTTGCATTTTTACTGTTTCCTTTATCTCTACGATAGCAAAGTTCTGAACACCAATGTTACGTTATACACTTCCCGCTTCTGCCATCTCTTTCACTACTTGCCGAGGCCTCCACCAATCGTAAAAGCTTGTAGTTTTTCTTTTGCTTCCCGCATATACACTCCCAATATGGGCGCTGTGAGATAAAAATTTTCTTTATACGAGGAGGATTCTCTCACCCGATTTCCGCTAGCATTCCTCGTCTGCTAGCGCTACAATTGATTCATAGTAATTGATTGCCAATCTCCTTCCAGTGTTATTCCTACAATGCAATTTATCTCTCCCATCACTCTGGCGAGCTAGGAATGGGCCTTTTGCGTTATTTTTTTTTTTGCACAAGATGCTAATTCTTAGCAGCGTTTGGCTTAAGTTGGACTACTAAGTGCACCCCTCAGTGTTTTTTGTGTGTGAGACATTACTTGTGGTTTTATGATCCAAGCATCAAAAAATGCAATGTGATTGTACATTATTGATTGATTTGTGGTGGTTTAACGTCCCAAAACCACCATATGATTATGAGTGACGCCATAGTGGAGGGCTTCGGAAATTTCGACCACCTGGGGTTCTCTAACGTGTGCCCAAATCTGAGTACACGGGCCTACAACATTTCCGCTTCCATCGGAAATGCAGCCGCCACAGCCGGGATTTGATCCCGCGATCTGCGGGTCAGCAGCCGAGTACCTTAGCCACTTGACCACCATGGCGGGGCATAGGGATTGTACATTGAGGTGACATTGACTAGGCTACACTCAAAGCTGAACCCAACTTTGATTTACTTTTTACCGCACCACTATAAAAGCTAGGACAGTCCTTTCCTTTTTATTATGCTCTTTATTGCCCCAAACTTGGTCACCGGTACAGTGCACTAATGAATTTCTGAATACAATGTCTTGCAAAAACACGTGGTTTGTTCGCAACTACTTACCTTTTTCATATTCAGTTTGAAGGCAACCTCCTCTGCAACTGAATTCGGGAACCACGGTGGCATTGACAGTAGTATGATGTTTTCGCTGTGTCCATCTTGTTAGGCACCAACACTCACAGACATCTGCTTAGTTTCGCCTTCGAGTTACTGCTTTATTTACAGCTGATCTCAAGCCTTTCGTTATGTCACGTGACGTTACATCAACAGTGTCAGTATCCTGAGCCAACACGCGCTCTTTTTGTCCTCTCTGCCATTTTCTGTTTCACTCTCAACACACGTGCACTCATTTGTCCAGCGTGAATTGCAATTGCAGCGATAGATAAATGAAAGAACGAGTAGACAGAGAGAGTGGGGAGGGAAGAAATAGAAAGCATGATGCGAGTAACATTATGAAAGGGAAGAAAGATAGAAAGGCAGAGAAGGAAAAAGACAAAACACAGACAAAAAAGAGACAAAGAAGAAGATATCAAGCAAGCCTTGGTATAGTATATTATAGCAAGAAGCTGTAAAAGGAACTGAGGGTGAGGAGAAAAAAAGGGTAAAGCATAGTATCTTATATGGTATATTATGGAAAGAGGTGGGAAAAGAAACCGAGCGTGATGAGGAGCAAAAGAAAGGGGAAACTCCACGGGCTTCGCAGCTTCCTCAGTCTTCGTAGCACTAGAACCTAACTGCACCAATCATTTTTGCTACCATGTTAACTTTTTCAGCAGCCACTGGACTCTAATGCCTGAAAGTTTGTAGGTTGAGTGCATCACACATGCTGCTATTATTTCCAGAGAGCAGTTTTACAACGTACTGGCCGACAACAGCCAACAACAGCAGTGGCTGAGCAGCCACGAAAAGCAGACAACACCCCAAAGGTTGTGGCTATCTACAAGTAGTCTTTATTTTAAATCTTGTCTCTCTCATACACAGGTAAATAAACAGGATGGGCGAGTCGAGAAAAAGTTAAAAGAGAACAATAGCGACTGGCATAGAAAGAGATTGGTTTATAGTATACATATAATATATTTATATATATATAAAGTAGCTCTGTCGTTTATAAAAATTGATCTTTCAAATATACTTTGTCTTTTTTAATCTCTCTTTCTCTTGTCACATAAAATATGGTCACAAGTATCAACAGGGCACACGTTTAGCGATGCCATAGATTTTATCTCTCTTTTAAAGGCAGAACACGTATATTACAATACAGAGACACATCGGCCATTTTTTGTTTCAGTTGGACTACAGTGAAGGCACATTGAGGCTACCAGAGGGCACCCACAAAAGTTGATCAATTGCAAGGTCATGCTCTTGCTGCGACTCTATTGGTCTGGACCTTCCAAAAGGAGGATGAATTCCAGGTGTCCATCAAACATCTAACTGCTACATCACTTAGGTAATGACATTAACGATTACTATGAAAAGAACATCATATTCAGACTAAAGACAAACATTGCACTTCTCGTGATGGCTGCTGCATCTGTGTTGTGAAAGATGTCTGTACTTCAGCGTTCACAATACTTGTACATTTGTAATGTACGTTCCATTTCACGGCTTAAACTTTTCTCAATTTTTCTCGGCTAATTCCTGTTAGTTGGGAAGCTCTGTGTCAGTGAGAGGAAATGCAAACTTTTCACTGTTTCTATTCAATTTACAACGATGTCAGTGCTTCGCTCACAATCACCATAAACTATCCGGAGGAGCATTGGTCATTGCCCACCTACTGATATTACATTTGAACCAGAGTTTCATATTAGCCCAAATGTTTTTATATTATCTTACAAAATATCACTCATTTATTTTTCTGTGTTTTTCTCCATTTGGAGAACAAGTATTGAAGCTGTAGTGCTTATGGTACAGGCAGCCAAACTCTTTAAGCAAGCCTAAAATCAGGCTGGACCGGGAACACACTAAACAAATCGCAATATGCAGTTATTTCGACGTCCAGAGCAGCTGGAACACACCCTTCTTTCGAAACTAAAAAAATTGCACATGATATCGTCACAGCACCTTCGTGAAAAAAAAAAACTAAAAAAAACGTTGCTTTCATACGTCGTAGACAAAAGATATGCGACATCTGGCGCGCTTCACGATTGCACGATAGACACTTGGCTTTTAAGTCTCTGTTTTCTGAAGGTACATTTGTTTTGATCGACATGGACGCCATCATTAGGCGTGGGGCTCAGGTGAGAACAGAGAAGTGTTGAGCAACATGGGACTCTGTCATCGCTCTCTTTTTCACAATGCAACAATGAACAGACAAAGAAAAAGAACGAATACATGACTGCGGTCCAGAGGGTATACAAGACCACATTTGCAAACTCCAGTTTTTCTTAAGTACATGCGAAATGTACTGACGTCCACTGGGGATAATACACAAGTGCAGCTGCGACTGGCCTAGCATAAGGCAGAGCAGGAGTATTCAGTAATCAATGTACACGTAACGATGCAGAGCTCTTTTTTTTTTCAGCAGAAAGAAGAACTACAAATGCAGCAGTGAAACCCACAGCCCGTTACCGAACTTTCACGAGAACACGATTTTTGTAGACTTCTGTCAATGGATGCTACCTGCAAATTTTGTGTTCACACAATATAAAATTTTCCACATTTGCAGCTGTGTATGACATCAATTTCATGATGCAACTGTTCTCATGTCATATACAGAAGTGTTGATACAAAATTGAATGTTTTATAAAATAACGTTAAAAGCCTTATTGTTTTAGAAGCCCCACACGTTCGATACGTCAAACTGATTTACAGCAGTGGACCTTATGATGCAAGTTGCGGCTACTCACTGTCGAACTGTTATATTTCGACCTCGTGTAAGTACTGCGCTCAAGGCAACATTGTATCACAATCTCTTGCTGCTTAAATCGGCAAATGAAAATTAGAGTGAATTGAGTTATGTGCATATGTTTTGAGACAAACTGGAAGATCCACGCAAGAAGAATCTAGAATAACATTTCACAGAGGAAGCGACAGTGCTCCATCATATCACATGGTGCAGAAGCTAAGTATTTTCCGATTATGAATGCAAACGTTTCAGGCACATTTCATGTTGTTTTGTTTGACGGGATCAGTGTGAACTGCAGTCGACAGCCACGAGTATATGACCACTTTTTTTTAATACATGGGCATACCAGCTATCTGTTGTCGCTATGAATAAACAAATGCCTTTTTCTGAACTCAAAATTTGCCTCTCGCTATCGGATGTAACATGGCTCGGAAGCGGGTTCACTGCTGATATTGTATGTGGTAGCCTGTACATTTGACAACTGCAAGGTCTACCACAAAGAAAAGCACAAACAGATTTCCAGAAATCAGAAGAGTAGCGAAGTTGAGAAACGTTTGAGAACGAAAATTCCGGATACACATAATGTCCGCATTATGTCAAACAGATGGGAATGCAATGCATGTCTCGAAAAAAGAAAAACAAAAAAAGATGTTAACAGAAATCTTGGAATGATGTTGCCTGGAACGCTCGTGCGTAAGAGCACTCAAATAAAAAAATACTGTTCTGGCATATATTTATACACAAAAGGGGTTTGTACAGGATCTCGCTTTATGGTAAAAGAATGCGCCGATCCTCCTCAACTCCTTTATTTCTCCCACAGAGCTCACAAACAAAAAATGAAAGAGCTTGATGAAGATTACAGAAGAATATATAGTGACACACAAGGCCAGTAAAATCAAGTAAGTTACCGGCAGCGTGAACATGAACATCTGGGCAGGTATTGACTGCTCGACATGAGTATGCTTCGTCGATGATTGCACATATGACAGGGGAGACAATGTACAGGCCTCACAGTTCCGCTGAAAAGGTCAGCTCTTTTCTCCTTCGTGCGTATACACCACGTGCCTACTGCAGGCAGTGCACTGAAGATCCTTGCAAACACGTGACCATTTAGTCCGAAAGCAACCAGAGATACAGTGTGGAACACTTTTAAAGGGAACGAAGGGTTTGACCTAAGCAAAGTTGCAGCCTCAACATTGCTAGAAACACTGCCTTGAACGACATAAGACATTCGTCTAAGTGCATGAAAGAAGTTGGTAGGATTTGAGTCTGTTTATTAGCTGTAATATATGCTAGGACAGTAACCTTTCTTCCCCTTAAGAGTCGATCACGCTGTATATGCATACCGAAAGAAAGGTTGGTGTGATTTCTTTTGAAAAATATTAACCATCAGCAACATTGATGAGTCATGATTTTGTTCTCCAGTCTGCACAACCTTGCTGATACGTTGGCCTTTTGTGAACTTCTATTTCTTTTGCCTTGAGTGGTTGCGCTGATACAGCCAAAAGGATCGCTCAGCAATACTATGAAGCATCTGTATATTATGTGAAGGTTCTTCGAAAAGGCATACTTAAAAAGAAATGAAACGTAAACCATTCCTGCAGTGTTTGTAACTGACGACCTTTTAAATTTAAGTTTTGATATAGCAGTCAACAATTGGGAAAATATGAAAAATGTAATGCACTGCTGCTAGTTTGATTTTTTGATAGTTGCGAGAAAGCTAAACTCTAGAACACCAATGAACAAACCTCAGCGCCATGAAGTCATTCGTTTGCACAATTGATGGCAGGCATTGTGTCGTGTTAACAATAGCCACCAAATAATAAAATATACAAGCTCTCAGTTGCATTTTTGCAGGCGGCCATGACAACTATATGCCCACAGTGTCATTATTTCGATGACACATACGTGACGTGCTGGAGTGAAATGATGACATAATATTGCTTTTTGATTGTTGTATCTCTCCTTCTTTACGACTAGAGCGACGTAAACTTTAGAACATTGTAAGAATGAGAACCTACCGCTAGTAGTTCGCCATTGAAACTACGAGGCTAGAGAAATGAAATGAATAGAGCAGCGGTAATAAGAACTGAACATCATCAATAATCATGGTGCTTTATGCGCGAAATCACTTTCGCATCGCTGATTAGGCGCAATTCGCACCCACGTCTTCGAGCTTTTCCAAAACATGCGCGACGACAGCTCCACCAACGTTTGGCAGGAAAAAAATTATTCTTTAGTGCACAGACAAAACGTCACGCGCTCATGTGTCGTCTGCTCGCAAGTGAATCAGCACGAGCGTTTTGTGTTTAGCGTCGTCTGCACGTAGCACACAGCCGAGCAGACGACAGACGCCAGCGTCTACCAAACGTTTGTTAAGCCTTACTTCATTATTTTGCTCCCCGTTTTCGAATTCTACATCACCGAAGTTACGCACACTGACACCGACCCCAGAAGACTTGCAAGGGTTCGGGGAACACTTCAACGATTGCAGCAATCATCGCCGCCCTCAAGTATTATCCTTCAATTACTGCGACTGGTGATGACGATGGTAATAACTCTTGACGGTACTCCATCTGGGGGCAAAATCAAGTGTGCACGTCTTTTTGAAACGAACAAGGTACGCACGCACATGCTCACGCTCACACACATGCACTCGCAAGAGGATGCAAACGAACAAGAAACAATAAAAAGGATTAAACAAGAACAAGATGAAAAATTGATAAACAATGGGTCAAAAAGAAGGTCAAATAGAAACAGGGATGGGAGTAGTCGAGTCTGTGTTACAACAGAAATAGGGGAGGGAGGGAAATGTCAAAGACTAAACAACATGCGCATGTGTGACAACATCAAAATGACGCCAGTCACACTCACGCTAAAGATGGATTGTTTCGGTATCAGGAGGATGTAAAACAACAACAAAGTGGGAGAATAAAAAAATATATGCAGCTCTTTTCAGAACGTGCGGTTTTACATAGAGTTCTCTGTCGTTCCAGCTGCGGTTGAGATGTGGTTTCTGTTCGTTGTTGTTGTTCTTGTTCCAGAGAACGAGTGGGCCTATGTGTAGCCTTCCTTCATCGAGGCATTACGGTCTCCACCCAGTGGCGTTGGGGCCGAATTTGTACACAAGCCGCCGGCCGAACACGGGTAGAAGGACCTGGCTTTTGTAGTAGTATCTGAATGGGCCCAGTCGGGCAATGTGAAAACAAAGGAAAGGAGAGGCACAAAGAACTTCATGGTTAGACAAGCACCGCATAATTGAATGCCGATTTATAATTGAAAAAAGAAAACACGCAACTCAATATAGAACTCTTACAACGACTGCCACATCCGAAACTATTGTAAGCGAGATTAAAAGTCACCTGTAGAAACTCTGAGGCAAAGCAAGAGTTTGTAAGAACTCATATCACGTGACCTTTTCATCGACTCCAGTTGTTATAAAGCTTATTTCGCTTTCACGGGGTACATACGACTACACATCACAATTCACTATCTGCCAGCAATCTGCATTACAAAGTACAGTGTGTAGAAAAGACAATTGTTGACTGCACGTACGTGTAATTGATGTTTGTAATGCAGGACTAACAACCGTCAAAAGAGGCTACATCGAAACACAAGTGTGCCTAATGTTGTATCTTTTGAAAGAATTCTTTAGTCGTGACCTTAACCTGTTCTGTACAAACATCAAAATGTCGTGGACAGTTCCAGCATTTCGGTACACGCAGAACAGGTAGTATGACTAGAGTGAAACCACATAATCGCTGGTGTACAGAAAGTTTACCTTATTTCACAGGACACACACCGACGGCACACTATGTAACAATTTATATAGGTAGCCGAAAAATAGGCAACCAAACACTAAACAATTTGGCATCATCTTTGGGACCAAAGTACTAAGATTCCTGTCAGCATGGAATCAGGCAAACCACGTTTATTTGGCACTATGACCTCAATAAAAACAACCAGTCTGCAGTCTAAACTCACTATGGCTTTGGCATTAAACTTAAGTGGACTAGGGACATTCTTCTAGTAAGTTCCTTGTCAATGCAGGTATAAATATTTAAATTTCTGCATGCAACACATTACCATATTGAATTTGAAACCTAATCCCTACTGGACCGTGATCAAACCATCAAAAACATTGGCTTGAAAATGCTTAGCGATGTTTGCCAACCACCATCGCTAATTTAATGTTCATCACCACTGGTTCACTTGAATTGGTTTCACCGAACAGACATGGAGTGTAAACAACAATGTGAACAGAAACCTTATTGTGGTGTTTGAAGAATGTCGCATCAGCACCAGTAAGGTCATGTGAAGAGGTTCATTCAACAACAGCTGCTTAGCTTTGTGGATAAGATTTTCTCAGGCTGTTCATTTTTCGGGGACTTCGTTCCTTTGGCACAGCAATGGGACACAGTTTAAGCGCTAGCCATTACACCCTCCATAGTGGAAAATGCTACAGATTAACAATGTTCTGTTAGCGGTTCCTGTACAATGACGCCCAGATGCTATGAATCTTCAGGATTATTCAACTCTGGTAAAATTATTTTACGTTGTGTAAATTAGGCATATGGTACACTTACGAACGTTCTTTCCGCTCAGTCTTTATAATGGAAGGTTCCCTAATGCTAGTGGCAGTTAAAACTTAGGCCGGATTCTGAATATTCTTCACATAAATCTTTGAAAAGAAAACTTAAACACATTGATTCTGTGTTTTGCCCTGCCGATAGAAAAAGGTAATGCCAGATGTCCTCGGCATTCTCGGTCAAAACATGATTGTTGCTCACATGCCCACATGAAAGAATGGCAGTGTAATACTCCATTGTGAAGTGTAAGGCCTTCAATACATGTTAATGACGACCGTGCTGGCAAACACCACAAACTTTAGCACACCCCACAATGATATGTACTGGTTCATTTCTGTCCTTACGAAATCAGTCACAGGGTCCCTACAACATTAATACAATCCATAGTTGGTGCAGACTTGCAGACATGTGCACGTAAACTCAGTCTCATCGATTTCCATCAAGTATTGCTAAAAGCCACGGCAATAGACCATGTTGCGGGCGACAATCCTAGCATCCAAAATGACAGAAGGTGTAGGGCTGATGTCAGCCTATGAGAGGATTACCACCACCGTTACAGATAGCATCATGAGTCAGCCACCGACACCAGCAGCGGGAGAGTCAACACAACCGTCACCGGGTTCCTTGGTGAGTGCGGGTGAAAGACGGAGGTGTCAGTAGGTGAGAGGAGAAGTGAGTGCGAAGAGCTTGCGTCCCGTCCACCTTGTTTTCTCTCCAGCCGCTTGAACGTGGTCCAAACTTGTAGACGAGCTTTTTGGGCAGACCCTGAGACTTGGGAACGGGTTCTAGGATTTCCTTGCCGTAATAGGTTCTGGTGAGTAGCAACCACCACCAAGGAGGAAAGGGTGCAGGGGTGTAAGTCAAGAGAGAAAGCAAGAAGAAACAGACATTCGGAGCGGTTAGTACTGACAGCAAAGTGGTAAAAAAAGAAGGAAGTGAGGTTTGATATTTTCAGCACAGACAAGACCTGTGCGACTCTCCTTTGTCGTTCAATGGCATTGAGGTTGGTTGAGAAAGGCTAGGAAACCTCCATTCGCAAAAATATATCAATGCCCTTCTGTAAAACTAGTGTTTCATATGGCTTAATTACCAAGAGTAAAACGGTCTTGAGCTGATAATATGTTTGTGCGTTCACAATCACTTATGTGATCCTCTCCTGAGATAATGGTATTTCTCAGGCGCAGAGAACTCCCTCAGTGTGACATCCGGAGAAGTACTTCTGTAACCCTTCAATTCCAGGGACCTTTCAATAACTTTCATAGACGTCGTTATTTTGGCGTAACATACATGGAGAGAATTCAATGTGCATTAGGCACCATCAAAGGCGCAAGACTGCAAATTTAAGCACTGTAATGCCCTGTGTGTCCACTTTGCTTTATCTATGACACAAACTGTGGTTTCAACATTCCGTAAAGTCTTTTCCTGCGTTCCTGTTTGCTTTCATAAAAAACAGCTCGATATTGAACCAACCCTGCTAGCACGATAGCGCAACTAACACGTAGCTGAGATATTCGTTACAGGCGCAATCATTAGTAGTACACATTAGTCAGACAGAAACCGTCACCAAAGTATCAGCATGCAGAAAATTAAGGCAGCCAAGGAAGCATGATCAATAGAACTATATTTTGGAAGTCTCAATTCATAGTTCGAATATAAAATGTTCAATATTTGAGAGCACAGCTACTAATGGCACTCAACCTGCGTCATTGTTATACCCTGTGCAGGACAACTGCAAAAAGCAGCCATGTTCTCTTTCTCCAGATTGTTCAGAATTCATTAGCTAAAAAATTCACGCATGCAGAAGTATCGTCGATAAATAAATCATGCTTAGATTCGTAATAGGTAATGTCAATAACTTCGCTTTCAAAGCTTGCACAAGAGATCCCGGGTAATTCAGGCTCAACTAGAGAATGAACATAGGAAAGAGACTGATCCCGTTGACCCCGATACCATAGAGTGCGACGTAAGCAACCGCTTGGCAAGTCTGTGCTCCTGGCCATGGGAGATTACACTTGCTGCAACGAGCGAAACAAAGAGGAGAAATATGTGGCATACGTACCTCATGGCCCGGCTGAGCTTCTCGTAGGTCATGCGAGGGTTCTGCTTGCGGTCGCCCCACATCTTGGCGACCTTGTCTGATTGAACGAACTTGAAGATGCCATCCTCGCGCCTCTCCCATCGTATCAGGCTCGGGTTGGTCGATGGGTTCAACAGCAGGTCCCGGATGAACTCCCACAGCTTGCCCATGCCTTTGCCTTGGTCAGGCAGAGAAAACGAAATGAGATGTTAGTAAAACTGAAACATTGGAGTTTCCTTTGCCTTGGTCAGACGGCGAAAACGAAATTAGATGTTAGTGAAACTGAAACATTGGAGCTTATAGCCTGATTGTGACACTGCCAGATGCAGCTGAAGATTAGCACATGCAGATATTCTCCTTAGGATTAGGGGAAAAATGACAAGCGAGAGAATAAGTAGAGAACAGCGTGCTTGAGCACATGCATTAAAAACAAGTTGGTTCACGAGCAGAGATATGACGCACAGTCTGCAAGCATCAAGACATAAAGGCAAGCAACACTTGAAAAAATGTTAGGCGACCTTAGCTGTGGAACGTAACATTTTGGTTTCAATGATGACCTCTTAACAAATTATTGATCAGATCACCAAGGTATACATAAAACCGTAGGCGGTACAGCGAGTTCGTTTTCGTTTTATAAATTACGAATTTACTCCATCACACACTTTTTGACAGGTCAGGCAATTCATTTTAGTCTGCTTACTTTCTTGGTGTCAGACGTCGGAATTGAAATATTTTTCATAAAATAAGTACCTCATTCAAACTTCAACAGGAGTTCATGGCAGTTCCCCTAGCAGTGGTAATGAACTTTCGTTTTTGTGAGGTACCGTTATGCGCACTCTACAGCCAACTCCAACCTTGAGATTGTTAATGCCTAATCCTTTTAAGGCTGAAACTTGAAACCCAGCCACACATCCCCTGACCCTTTTGTCTCTCATCGATAAAAAGTGATCACTTCTTCAAAACAAAATGCCATCAGCAGACACACAGGTTCCGATCAATCACATAATAATCACCATGGCTGTCAGTACAACGAAGACACCTGGCGTAGATGTATATAAACGCATGGCCTGAATTGGCTCCAGCAGTAAACAATGTTTTCTTTGGGACTTCTAGTCAGTGGCCCTCAATACACCCGGCAAAGTTGCGCTGAGCAATTACACACGACGCCTGACTTCAGTCCTGAATTCCGTATTCTTCTCGAGAAAGGTGAACAAAAAGTAGCGGGTAGCGTGAACGCGTAGTAAAGAGCAGCAGAGCAAGCTTGCTGGCTGGCCTGAGAAAGAAAGCGAGACAGATGCAGAGGAGGAAAGAGAGAGAGGATGGTGTCAATGCTTACCTGCTCGGCTGCGCGCTTTGGCCTCTTTGATGGGGGGCCTGCCCCTGCGTCCTTTCTTTTTGCCGATCATAGGCATGGGAGGGGCCACTGCAGATGCAGAGAGGGCGGAGAAAGAGAAAAGAGGCAACGCCAGCGTCAGCGTCTTCGCAGCTCGACACAACCGCGCGCCAACCTAACCAGCAAGCTTGCCCGCCAACGCGCCAAATGTTGTGTTCGGCACACGACCCTGACAACCAAATTTCTGTTCAGCCTTGCAGCTGTGCATTTAACTCCATGTAAATGGGTTCTCGCATTTATCCCTGTGTTAGTGCAGCGTCTCTTTGGTGTATTTTTTCCGCCGACAATATCTGGCCAGCCCAATTTGCAGTCTTCATTCATTCTATAAGGGGAGACAAACCCACTCGAAAGGCTGCTTTTGGGCGATCCTCTGATTCTAAGATTGGATGTTGTCCAGTGTGTCCCACCAACGTCCAAAGTGTTGATAACCATAATTATTTCATTTGCCTGTGCTTTTTGGAGAAAACAATTACTGTGTTTGTATGTTATAGAACATGCACTAGCCAGCATCTGAGCCTTAAAAACGTAGGTATGCAATAACCCGAATGTGCGATTATGTATCTTCGATTGAGCACAAGATGCACTTATTCATGGTTCAAGAACATTAGAGAAAATGACTTGCGATACAAACAAGGCTTTTTTGGCCTTATGTAGCGGTACTATATAGAGAATATTCACAATTACGAATGCAGTTCAATAAAAGTTGCAGGTTAGTGCTATCCCGCGTTCGCACGCTATATTCACTTTCAGTATCCCCTTTACATGTTCAGGTAAATCTTAATCGCTTGTTATGTTGTATCTTTGTTCTAATGAGATGAAATGCATGACTCTAACCTCTTGCGGCTAACCTGGAAGCATTACTACTATTGCTTTGGAGGACCTGATAGTGTGCTGTTTCTCCTGTTTTCTAACATCCTTCTTCAGCAATAAATGAGTAGTTAAGCATCCTTACCGAAAAATCAAGACTGTGAACGAAGCTTAAGTGTGTCTCGATTGTAAGACATGGCATTGTTAGTGCATGCAGGTGACCACCGACTGCATGCTTCCCCCCGCATGCAGCAATGGCAGAATGGCTGAGCGCATTCCAAACTTACTTTGCTTGAGTATCCGCGTGTCATGAGGCATGTAGGGAAAGAGGTTCTCCGTCCGCTCATTGACGGTGCTCAGGCTGCTGCTGGTGCTGCCGCTGTCCGACTCCGCGAGACCCGGCGACCCCGATGACGTCACTTCAGGGAAGAGGCACCAAAGAGTTTTCTATCAATTCTCTGCTGGGAAGCGAAGTCCAATAGCTCCCCAGAAGCTCCCAGATTTTTCAAAAAAAGTTCTCATGGCTAACTTGTCAATTTCAAAACACATGATTACTTTATTACAGTATTCATCATCAAGCATTTCCTCTAGTAGCATGCAGTGTTGCCGCAACCTTGTGTTAACGTGTGGTGGTACTAGGGTCTTGTAGCAACCATTTCCTCAAACACACTTGCTTAATTAACATTATATCTTCGAGAGCAATAATCATTTATTGATGTTCTTGGTCTTTGTCATAAGCTCCGAGGAGGGACACTTTTCTGATCAAGGTGATAATGCCTCGCAATCTTTGTTCTTATGAAAAAATTCAGAGTTTTGCCACAAGGGTGAAGAAATGAATGCGATAGCAACAACATGGAAGGTAACGGTGAAAACGGCAAGCAGATCGCAACGTGCAGCGAGCTGACCACGCACAAACGACGCATGTAAACAACACACACAAGACGAAACCCAACTAACAACTTTTACAGCTTGACACTTGTCGCACTGTTTAAACAACAAATACGCACGAAACGTAATAACAGGTACAGATTTGTGTGCGAACTAGCAAGTGTTCCAGTTGTTACATCGCTGTGTTTGAAAAGCGCGCTCTTTTCGCAAACGGGGCCTGTAAAGCGAGCAAAGTGATTTTTTTACGTTTGGCCACTAAACTCAATCGTTTCAATCAAACTCGAAGGCACACGATTTTCCCCCACCACAGGTCAAGTGTGCGGATAAGGCCCCCTCAGTCCACGGAGTAAAGCACGCGTGGGAGATGCGCGCCCATCGGCGCATCATTGCGAGCTGGACGCCGAGCTTTACGCTGAGCACGCTGCTTGCACCATCTCGCTGGTAATGTTGAAAACACGCAATTTCTCCCATGATATATATAAATTGCTTGCAGTTTCAACGTTGGAAGACGTGCTCCTTCATGGCTCATTGGCTAACGCCACGCGGTCACAAACGAAAGGTCGGACGTTCGATTCCGCACGCCGGAGTCTTCTTCTGCATTATATTTCTTTCGTGCGTTTTCATATATATAGATACATCTATATAAACGCTGAGTGACGACGACGCCAATGCTGGCGGCGAAATTCAGCCGAGGGCGTCCATTTAATTGCTATCACAATAAATAGTGAAGATACTGACGCATAAAATGGAAAAGTTCGGCTTGATTTTTTTTATATTTACCTGTTTGCAGTTCAGGCTCACAGTTTTTTATACATGGAGAAGTACATCTGCTGTGCTACTGCTAGAATGGCAGTCTTTCAGCTTGCATTCTTGACCATGTATCTCTGTTGCTACGTGGAGACTCGCAATCTAGTGAGCATTCTAGCACACGCCATACTTAACTCCTGGTGACGGCAATGTGCAAAAATTTATTGTAGACGTGCCCGACAACCTTCATGTGCTAAATGACAAGCACTCTTTCAACCAGAAAATCGTTTAAATAATCAATTATCGATTTGGGAAGCACGGGTGTCAGTACGATTTTATTTGAGGGGTACAACCAAGTGTTTAGCACTGGTGTGGCTTTGGGTGAGGGGGCAAGTGCCGCCTACCAATATCAATGAGAATGTCCAAACACCATTGCACAGCCATCCATTGGGGCAGTACCACTTACCATTTTCGGAGCCAGGACTGCTGTTCTGGATTTCCAGAGTGTCGAAATAGCGAGGGTGGAAGGCGTATTTTTCGGGTTCGAAGTAGGCGTCCGACATTCCCATGTCTGCGAAAGATCCAACAACTATTATTGCGTTTGAACTTGCGGTTGAACTGCACTTATGAACTACAGTACAACTTACTTCATATATGGATGCACTTAAGCGAAAGGCAGTTAATTAAACCTACCAAACCACGTCAAGCGATGTCAACATAACATAACCACATATGCATTTATTGCAGCTTACTGGCTACCTTTTACCAGCCTAAACGTTTTTTTTTTACATTTAATGCATCCTCAAATAAACAGAGAAATAGCCAATGCCTATAATAACTATCCGAGCAATCGCTACTTCCTAAGGCGCATAATATCAGTACCCTATCTAGTGTAATATATTCAGTACGTGTTCATTAAACGAGCGTACGCAGTTCGCGCCAAGTGCAATGTATTCTTAGAGCCATGAGTAAATTGATGGTTCAGCGGTGCGCAACTAAGTGCGAAGCAACCACCGGCCGGTGTCGTCAAGGGGCGTGCTCACGTACAGAGACAAATCAAGCCGCAAAAGTGGCCACGATAACGGCAACGAACGGGCGCAAATGTTCCGCCTGAATGCGCACTTCAACCCGGTTGGTTCAGATACGGCCAAATGAAAGCTGCAGCTACCTCTCGAATATGTCGTCACTACGAGGTTCTGTCTGGCTGCGCCCGAGAAGGCAGCCACGCTAATAAAATTAGGAAATGAGATAGAAGAGGAGGGGGGGGGGGGGCTTCTACATTTGTAGAAAGGTTCCGCGCGAGCGAGCAGAGATGGTTGAGTGGACGTAAGCTCTGACACACACACACACTTTTTAAGCACAATCCTGAGGAATCGAGCAAACCTGAATTAACATCCACGAATCAATTCGCTCGAGAGAGATAGAGCTTTCTCGGACGCAGCGATTGTCGTGAGGGAGTGCAATAAGAAATGTTGCACGAAAGGCTACTAGGCAGAGTAGGAGTCGCTGCTCATTGTTAAGGCGCACACACGCGTACTCTCGCTTGCACCACCGCGTGTAACCAGTCGATGAAGTTTATTTGGTTAGCAAACGGGTCATTACATCCACGTGGACAGCACGTTGCACGGGCTGTGCTCCACTCATTCGACATGCGCTTTATTTTCCTAATACACCACGACCGAACGTTGCAGGAATGAGAGATGACTACTTTTGGCGACGCTTGCAATCTTGCCGCTAGTGTGCGTGTATTCGGGTGTTGTAGACTGACATAAATCCAGCAATACTCAGTTCGCAATTGCTGCATATATTGACAATAAAAGACGGTGACGCTAAACTTCTATTTATCTCTTCCGAACAGGGCAATTGTGAATTCTGCAGTATTTAAACACGATTTCAAAATGTGATAAATCTTCAAAAACGAGTGAGTTATGTGAAAGCGAACGGTTCCTCACCGCTGAGAAGCTGATGCAATGAAAAAGCACGCACAGACATTTGCGACACCATTTTGATTCTCAGCCATCATTGTAAGTAAATATATAAGGTGAGGTTAACTAATACAGAGTCTAGCGCAACGAAAGAACTTGTAAAACACTAAATATAATCACATTGGATTGATTACAAGAACAAAAGGGCTTCTTTGTGAAAACTTTAGAGACTGAAAACCCAGCATGCCCAAAGCATAGTTGTTATGACCAAGAAAGCTGATAAATTTAGGTTAACAACCAGCAATATATTTGTATGCCGAGGTAAACCATACTCAATCAACTTCAAAGACTGACGTCGTTTATTGTTGGCTTCACCACATATAGCCCCTTTATGCAGCAAAGCCCGCTTTCTTCAGATAAAAGCCGCATAGTGGTACATTCTATATCTATAGAACCTAACACGACTGTACATTGTTTCAATACGCTTTTTATGTTATACCGATTTCATTTACTAATTTGGAAAGCCTAGAATAGCTACAAGCATTACGTTCACCGTTACATCAAAGCACCTTTCCGCAATTTTTACGAAATTTTCTTTCACTGACTGTTGCCCCGAGAAATGCCAGCTAACCACTTTGTATAGTCTTCCTTAACTCGACAAAGTTATGCTAAAATATTGGTCAGGTGAGGACGGGAGATCAAATAGAAAAATGAATGGCTAGCAATGACAGCTCGAGGTCTCTTTCGTACAGAAGGGCAAGATTTACTTTAATGAAAAACCCGTGGAACATTCATTTATAAGAAGGCCTGTCTAATAAAAGAAACATATTCTTTTGCACTGGTTTGCTGGCAGGTTTGTTCATCAAACGACGTCACAGCGCTCGGTCATGGCCAATTCCATTTGTTTTAAAGAGAAACTGCTGCATATCGCAACATTTTCACAGCTTTTAATTTTTGTGACCTGCTCATACTGTGCTTGGAACATCGGTTGACTCGTTCACTTCGCTCCCAATTTCTGACTCCAGCAAAGCATCTAACAGCAAATGATGGGCTGCCGTTACCAATGGCTCTTCATGCACGGATGTCACTTTTCTAGCAACACGAAGTGCTTACCAGCCTTGCCGTGTTGTTGTAAGTATTGCCATAACGTTCCAAACGTCGTTCAGCGTTACGACAACAATGCGCGTCAAATCTGCGTTTTCACGTAGTGCTGCGAAACTTCAAGGAACCTCGCAGCGCCCCGAATCGGTAACTCACTGCGTGACGCTGCCGCGGCTGCTGTACTGTTGCCCAGGTGCCGCTGCACTTCCTCGTAGAGGCGGTGTCCGTAAGAGGGCGCGTGCGCACGGAACTCGTCGAGGCTCATGCGGCACAGGTGTTCCCCGGTGAACGAGGCGAAGGCGGTCATGTTGATCTCGTCGTCCACGATCTCCACCTGGTTGTGGCTCGTCCAGGCCACCAACCACTCGAGCACGTCGTGAGACTGCCAGTGTTGGATGGGAAGGCTCTGCCACCGGCTCTCGCCGAGGTCCAGCACGTCCGTCGGGAACGTGTCGCCTGTGTGGCCGCCACAAACTCGCGATGTTCTCACAGACTAAAAGTGGCGTATCCGGCATCTAAGACGCTGGATACGTAAAAACCGTAACATAATAGCAGGCTCGCGTTTACCCTGATATATTGTGGTTTCACGATCAGCAAAGAACTGTCTCATCCTGCAGGACATGCTGATGATATTTATGGTCGTGCGTGCCAGCATGAGCGTATCTGCGGTCACTTCCCGACTTTTCTGATTAAGAACGAATGCGTGTTTTGTTCAGCACCATTGTCGAAGCGAGACAGCTACTTTTGTTTGGCAAATTCACATAACGTAAGAGAGTGAACAAAGATTGCCACTGCTAGCACATAAGCTAGTTAATAGTACTATCTTTCAACAGCCAAACCGAGCATTAAAAAGCGTTAACTGTCTTTGTCCACTCTACCCCATTTGCACTTTACATTGCTTCTAATTTATGTTGCTGAGATAACTTTCTAGGAACAGTCGTACGTGAATAAACGCCGAAGAAATCTCTTGACGTAGTCGAAACCATGCTCTACCATTGATAAATTCATGATGTACCACAGGAACTGCCCTGTTTTCGCAGACACGTACCTTCAAAAGGTATGGGCCTGGATGGGGCCATGAGGTCCATGTGCTGTAAGGAAGGTGTCACGTGGTCTGCACCATCCAGGCCGATGGGCTGCAGGTTGCAGTACGCATTCTTGTCCTCCTCGGTCGGTTCGTACATGAACTGTTCGTCTGTGCTGAACGGGGACTGCGCAACGAGAGGTTTCGTCTATTATAACAGGCCTGGACACATTAATAGGAGAGCGGTCAACATGAACTGCGTTACATCGAAAAATATACATTGTGTAACACAAATAGAAATGCGTGAACAAAGATGCTTTTTGTAAATAATCTTAGTAGCGGTGTAAACAGAAAATTCAAGCTGTGCAGGGTTTTGCGACAAAGGTGGTTATCTGTAATACACACGATTACAGAGATAATCTTTTACGAGGCCGCAATCTTGAAACGTAAACTAGGTGTGCATTACCTGCGACAACAGCCCACTGCTGACTGAAGATAACAGTACTCGCCATGCCAATGATACCTCATCGCTAAAACTAGACGTACCGAAAGGCCGTCTCTAAATCATCTGAGGGGAGGCCTCCCCACCTCGAAGTATTGCAGTCGCTACCTAGTAACTACACAATAATGACAAAGTCAGCGCGCAGCTGGGAGCTATGGTATGCTAAGGGGTGACACCGTCTCTACACTGTTTTCCTAAACCGATACTGGGACAAAGTGACAGATGACTTGTACATAAATCACTGATGTATTCCAGCATGCACAAGACGAGTGTTCAGAGTAAACGTCTTACCTCATGGGTCGCCATGAGGTCTGTCTGGTTGAGCATCATTCTGTAGGCGAGGTTCTGCGTCCGAGACTGGACTCTGCAACGATAAAGAAAAACAAGCAAGTGTGGACGTGAGTACATCCGAAACGAATCTTTTGTACAAAGCACGATACTCGTCAGTTTTTACGGTGAAGTATGTTGTCGCCTTCACTTCTAGGCAGCAACCGCGGTTCAGCCGAATTTCTTAGCCAGAAGACTCCCGCGTATCCAGAATCGGTCACTACGCTAATTAATCACATTGCACTTTGCATGCTCAAAAAGATTTGCCTATTTGCGCCGTGCCAACATCCGATACGATGGATATATGAAAGACATGGCAGGTACTTGGCAATATCGTGACATTGCTAAGAAAGCCGAAAAAAAAAAGGGGGGGGGGGGTGTGGAGGAATTAGCGCTAGCTGCGTAAAACTTAAAATACAGCGAAACTGGTTGACTCATGGGCATAACGCGGCCTTCGTGGTCGATGCTACGTCTTTCTTTGGCGCAGACTAGACAGAGTCGAACCCACAGCCTGTCACAGACCACGCAAGATTGTGCAAACTCAAGCACCAGAACCAACGCACTAAGCTAACTGTGGCAGCCCCGGTAGAGGCGCGGGTCCTTTATTGCTCACCTCAGCTCGCGTGGTGGCTGCGCAGACCATCTCTTTCGATCGACGCTGCTGATAAGCATTGACACGTGACAAGCAACGGAGCGGATGACGAAACTTTTTTGTGGAAACTTGACATTTCACCTCAAACCTTAACAGCTTCGCTCTCAATAACGAAAAAAAATGTCCACGTTAGGAGGTAGGAAAAGCAACCATCTCAACTCGCTGTGTACCTTATCATGTGTATATGGGAGCAGTTATGCATATCTGGTCCTGACGTAGGTCGAACGTTCCGCAGTAGACAAGTGAACAATGTTATTTCGGCTGCAAGCGTGGTGCTATGGTTCTCCATCGAAAGCCATGTACTCATAAAAGGTCGAACGCTTGAATACAGCCTATCATTGTGATATGTTTTGTACCACGCAACGACTGTTATACTTTATTATGCTAATGATTTATGCCCTTATCGATTGATGTGCATTAGTTGTCCTAATCTATGCTCGCAAGCATGAACTAACGCCACGAAAATCCGTATAAATAGCAACTTTTGTCAGTTCTCGCACAGCTTTCTTCGGGGCCAAAGCCGCCGCCGAGTTCCGCCAGAGCGCGGCGCTTGCTGTCACGCTCCGTCAAGAGGCCCGTCAGCCCTTTTACAGCGGTGCCTGACGCGCCACGAGTATTTACCGACGCGCCGAGCTAAGCGCTGCCGAGCGTAACAACAAAAAAGATGTTGAAAAAAAAAAGTGCCACGAAAGCGCTTGGCGCAGCATGCCCCAACAAAACGGCGCCTGTCACAAGCGCGTCTCGCCGGCCTCTTCGAGTGACACGAACTGACACCGCCGACGGCATCTCCGCGTATCCTCCTCGCGCCGTGAATAGAGAGCCACCGCTCCCGCGGCGCCTCGTGGAGGCCTCGACGCGTGCCGGGCAGAGACGCGCTTATGTAGTCTGCTACCGCAATCAGCAGGCGCGCATGCTAGAATATACTGAACCAGCGCGAACGTACGCCGAGTAAGGCAGGGAAATTCGCAAGAACAACGTCTCAGGACTCTCAAACAATCGTCTCCGTTTTAAGGTAAAATATAGAGGTTGTGATCCAACATTACAATATTTTCTATCTGCATAAATGATCCTTTTGGAGCTTCGCACTGATCATTAGCGGTGAAAGATAACAGAGTAATGTAACCTGAGAGGAGCCATCCGTGTCTTATTCTTCGGTATATTAGTCCAAACGGACAAAAAGAATCGACTAAGGTATGCAGTTTAGACTGTGGGTTCAATAGTTTCAAGTGTTCCTTGATTATTTAGCAAAAAAAAAAACCATCTGCTACTTAACAAGATGAAGGCATACCTTTCTCTCTCTCTTATTTTGATAACAATCTGAGAACCTTAGCGTAGACCCGTCATGACGACGTCACAAAATCGTACGCTAAACAAGCGCACCAATAAACATGTTATTTCATTAAGAACACATTAATGCGTTCTTATGCAACACACATACACACACACAAAATAATAAAAGAAAGAAAGAAAGCTTTCCCGACTGTCAATAAACTGGCAGCCTGTGTATCCTGTGTCGTTTCTTTCACCCTTCCACACCTTGCACGCCGTAAACTTAAGGGCGGCACGTGCCGCTTTGTGAGGCTGCCACGAGCGACAATGTTGCTCAGGAGGAAGCCAGCCCGGCGTGACGACGCAAGGTGTGGCCACACGTGGGAGGGGTGTGACCGACCACCTTGCATTGCGTCGGTGCCGCGCCTACCGGTGGAGCTATGCTCATCTAGGCCGACAACGATGTCACTTGCGGTCGCCTATTGAATGGCGAAAGCTCGTGGATCAGTGTAAAACAACCAGGAATATGATTACGTATACAATGCCTACCTGCGTCTCTGCACTTGCTTAACCAAGCACGGGAAGCCTGAATATGCACACATTAGGCCTAACGTAGCTGCGGAACCATTGCTAGTCCACCCAGGGTATGTTTGTCATACAGCGTCACGATAACGGCATCTCACAGTGCTGCAGGCTTTAATTTGTCTATCGTTTTTCAGCCCACATGTCACGAGGGAACTTGTGTCTACAATTAAAAGGAGCTGTGGAGGCGGAACCTGTACATTATTGTGCTTGGAATAATTTTTTGATAAATACGTGTTTGACTCGTTGTAAAGTGCACATATAAATATTCTATTGGTTGACTGGTGGATTGATTGATCGATATGTGAGGTTTAACGTACCGAAACCACGATATGATTATGAGAGACGCCGTAGTGGAGAACTCCGGGAATTTCTTAACGTGCACCCAAATCTGAGCACACGGGCCTACAGCATTTCCGGCTCCTTGGAAAATACAGCCGCCGCAGCCGGGAATATACAAATTCGAAGCGGCTAGATGTCAGTGGAAGGAATGGGTGCTCCTGCGCTTTGAGATGACGTACGCGTAATGTTCGGGATCAGCGCGTTGCTTTCGCAGGAACGTCGTCGCGTCGACGGCGATCGAAAGGGACAAACTTTTGTGCCGCATTCCACGTAAACGGCTCGGAGGCGACTCTTTGCAGCCGCTTATTCGCTCGCACGTCTAGCGCATACCATGTTTGCACATCGTTCGTGTTCGATGAGTGCCCGTACATATGCGCGCGGTCGCATTTAGCTTGAAATATAGGTGAAAAAAATACTGATAGAGCTCTTATAAGCTTCGTGGTGTAGGCACCCCCCCACTTTCCTCTCTTGTGTTCATGTATTCCACAGAGTTTTTTACGCGTGTTAACACTTTTCTGTTGAAGAGTGCTGCGCGCGTACTGCGAAATGGCACGCGGCGCGATAGAAGGGCGTCGAACTCGTGGCAATGAATGTAGGTAGACCTCGTCTTGTCAATAGATGTCGCACAACTTGTATGAAGAAAAAGAACTGTGTACTTCATTACTGTGGAGCACTCTGGATAACCGGAGTCGTTTGATGCTCTGTCAAGACGTAGTAAGGTAGGACGCAACTCAATTGGGAACCCACTTCCTGTAGAGTAATGTGGCCGCTGCGATCGAGAATCTCGCTAACAGCCGCAGACACTCGGGCACCTTGATGCGGCTGAAGAAAAGGAAGAGACAATATCAACCGTTGCCCGCGATTAGACGAGTACACTTTTGTGTGCTCGTTTCAGAGCGTGGTTAGAGAACAGCGCCAACGCATAAAAAAGGCCCCTCATAAAAGAGCTCGCTGTTTCTGCCATTCCAGTGCGTAAGAAGAGCAAACACTGAAAAGTGCCCGGGCAGTGGATCGCCTCCACGCATATCGAAGCGCCGATGCCTAAAAACGGGTCTACAGGGACCGCCTGCATACGAGCCGGGTAAATGTTTCTACCCGAAAAGAAGCCTGCTTGGTGTCATTATTTTGTCTCTACCTTCTCCTTCCACGACGCAGTCGAAGCACGCACTCGGCGATACGTTGGCGCATGTCAGTTCCGCGTGGCACGCACGTCGCACTGTGCCACCCAGCACCCTCTCTTTTCCCCCGCAGCCTTCCGCTATACTACATAGACGGCGACGGGCAGTATACGTCGAGGGAATGCGTGTGCGGTCGCCATTAGACCTACCTCTGAATGCGGCAGAGAGAGAGAGGGGAGGGCTATGATAGACGCATTGCGGGCAGTTTGCTGCGAACAGGGAGAGGGGCAACGAATGTCGTGCAGAAGGAGAGAGACGCAACGTGACGCGAGCATTAGGTTGGATCCCCCTCCTTCCAGCCCTCCGCCTTCCCGTTCCGAAGATATCATTCTAATCGGCCGTTCGCCACGCCGTCCCGTCACTGCCAGGCTCGTTCGCCGCCGACGGGCCCTCGCGAAACGGCAGTTGCCTTTGTGTATACAGATATAGGCTAGACGCGCGACACGAAGAAATGCCGCGCAGATGCATGAGCGTAAGAAGTGTTTACGCGAAGCAGCTCAATGTGAGGTCGAGGATGCATTTGCAAAGCCAGCATAAGCGAGTTGCACATTGCGTACAAGCGGACTTGAAGTTACTTAGGGACTGTCCACTATACACATGGTAAACTATAACAGATTACTTCGGATTTGCTCGTCCTGTAAGTGACGTACTATTCTTGGGCAAAGTTGCTCTTGTCGTTCGCGGAGGCGGTGCAGATTGAGGAACGTGTGCTTCGAAATGGCGAGGCTGTAACGAAGAACGCAGTCGCGCCACCATTTTACCCACTGCAGCAGGTCAGATAACTTTTCCGAATGGGAATCGCAACACGATACACACCGACGGTGTCTTGGAAAACACCCCTTCTTTGGACTTCGGAAACCGTTACTTAACTTCGTTTGTAACTTCGACGCATAACACGAATGTTATTGACGTTTCCGTTCAAGCTTCGCGCGTTACGTGTACTCTTTTTTTGTCCCTAACAGCGATCTATTTACCAACCTGGGATGCAAGCCTTTATTATTATTATTATTATTA